AAAAAAAAAAAAAAAAAAAAAAAAAAAAAAGAAAAGAAAAAGAAAAAAGAAAAATTAGTTATTTTTCAGGATTTTAAAATTTATTAGCATATAATTTTTCAGCCTAGTCTCTTATAATTTTGACCTGCTTTTATCTACCCTCCTCTTTATCCAAGAGTGTCTTTCTATTTTTTTTTCCTGATTTAATTTGGAAGAGATTTGCCTATTTTTTAAGGAACCAATTATTGAAATTGTTTTTACATTTCACTCTTTGTGTTTTCTAATTCACGTATTTCTGCTTGTATTTTTATTGTTTTCTTCCTCCCAATGTTCTTATGAATATTTTTGTACTTATTTTCGCCAGATGTGTTGGATGCCTCCTTTGTCTGATTTCTCATCTTCTCATAAATAATGGAAAGATTCTAGGACTCTGAATTTATTTCTAAAAATATCTTAGACTGTATCTTTTATATTTGGTTATTTATTATTTTTATTTTTTGTTATTTTCTATATATGTTTTTATTAATTTTTCTTCCTTGACCTAATAGTTTTCTAATATTATTTTTACATTTTCAAATGTTTGAGAAGCTGTAGTGTAAACTTTTGGCCTTAAATTCTAGTTTCATTACATTGTAGCCAATCACACTGTACATTTGGGCCCCTAGTCAACAGTTCCTTTCATCAAGCCTTTGGTCCTAACTCTGTAGTTACCAATTAACATATAATCTTAATAATAAGATAAGAGAACCTATTGGGTAAGTTGTGTTGCCCACCAGAAATCACATACCAGGACAAAAATTAAGGGATTATTTTGATTTGCAAGTATATCAGTTTAATTTATATGGTTTATTTAAAGGGATTGTCCAGTGATAGCAGCCCCACTTCAACCATTTAACCATCAGAGTGCCTGGCCATGCTTCAACTTATGCCAATATGTTGTAGACTTAGCACATACACATTGTAGCTCAGGAATATTAAGTCCTGTTTTTGTCACTTGATATAAACAGTTCCCATACTAACAGATTCCTTAAAGGTTGCCTCATATGTAAATATCGATGGTCTTAAAAATAAAATTCTTTCATTGCTTCTCGGAGAGGATGCATAGGGAACCAATTTTAAAGTGAGTCCCAATAAATGTGTTATCTGTAGCCTGAGACAAGGTAAAACTATGAAGCCTGCAGCAGCCCCGGGACCTGGGGTGGAAAGATTAAGCAGTTAAGATCACGTCGGTCAGAAGTCCAAGGCCATAATTGCTACAAAACTTGTGTGCCTGTTATGTATTAGACTAGAGCAACACAGTCCTCCTTGTTCAGCTCTGTTGTTGCTGGTCAGCCTCTGAATTTAAAAGACCCTTCTAGTATTCCCTGGTAAGTGGAAGGGGTAATTTCTCAAGTATAAAAAGTTAGAAGGGCTCCAGATATCCAAAACAGTGTTTATGACCTGAAGGCAGGAATCAGAGTTTTGGCAGCTTTTTTTCAAACTTCAGCTATTCTCTTCCACCTTCCCCAGATTCCTTCATTTCTGGCCTTTGGCTGATGAAATGAAAAATTCAAGTGGCTAAAAGTGTATGGATCACAGGATACTGCCAATGGGGGAGGGGTGGTGGTGGTGATAAATGCCAATCCTTTTATGCCTAATCCCTGATTCTCCCCACTACACTTACTTTCTCTAATTTTAAAAATAGCATTATTAAGAAATAATTAGCATACAGTAATCTGCACATATTTAAAGGGTGTAATTTGACAACTTTTGACATATGTATACACCTATGAAAACATCATCAGAACCAAGATAATGAACATATTCATTACCTCCAAAATTTTCCCCCTGCCTCGTTGACATGTCTCCCTCCCACCCACCCTAGGCAGCCATTGATCTTTCTGTCACTATCGTTTGTATTTTCTAAAATTTAATAGAAATGGAATTATACAGTATTATTCTTTTTTTGTCATGCTTCTTTCACTCAGAAAAATTATTTTGAGATTGATCCATGTTGTAATGTTTATCAAACAGTTCATTCCTTTTTATTTATAGTAGTATTCCTATGATAAACCTGCGTTCCATTGCATATGCACATTTAGGTTGTTTTCTTTTTTTTTTTTTACTATTATAAATGAAGTTGCTATCACATTTGTGTACATGTCTTTGTACAGACAAATGCTTTTATTTCTCTTAGTAAATACATAGGAGTGAAATGGCTAGATATTATGGTAAGTGGATATTTAAGAAACTGCTAAGCTCTTTTCCAGAGTAATTGTATCATTTTTTATTACCACTAGTAACGTGTGAGTGCTTTCACTTTCTTATAAACTCTTTGTCAGGATTTTTCATTTTAGCCATTCCAACAGATGTGTGGCAGTTTCTCATTGTAGTTTTAATTTGCATTTCCTAATAACTAATGATATTGAGAACCTTTCCGTGTATTTATTTGTCATCTGTATATCTTTGGTGAAGTGTCTGTTCATGTCATTTTTCTATTTTTTAAATTGGGTTGTTTGTTTTCATATTATTGAGTTTTGAGGGTTCTTTATATATTTTGTATACAAGTCCTTTATCAGATATATGATTTGCCAATATTTTCTACCAACATGTAGCTTGTATTTTCATTTTCTTAAGTGTCTTTTGAAGAGTAAGTTTTTTAATTTTGATGAAGTCAAACTTATTAATTTGCTTTTGGTGTCATATTTTTCAGCTATATTTGCTTTATGTATTTTGCAACTCTGTTAGTAGGTTCATCTGTGTTTAAGAGTGTATTTCATCTTGATGAATTGGTTCCTTTATCATGAAATATCCCTCTTTATTCCTGGTTATACAGACATTTCTCATTTTTAAATTAGTTACTCTGTTATAAATTAGTCACTCTGGCTTTCTTTTAATTAGTGTTTATGTGATATATTTTTTCTTTCTTTTCTTTTTTTCCTTTTAACCTGTTTCTTTATATTTAGAATGGGCTTACTATAGACGGCATATAGTTGAGTCTTGCTTCTTTATTTATTCTGACAATCTCTGTTTTTTAATGTTCAGCCATTTATAATTTGTATAACTATTGACTTGGCTGGGTTCCATCTTATTTGTTTTCTGCTTATTCCATCTGTTCTCTGCTCTTTTTTCCTCTTTTTCTGCCTTCTTTTGGATTGATAGAGTACTTTTATGATTCCATTTCATCTCTACTACTGGCTTATTAGGTATACTTTGTTTTCTTAATTGTTGCTCTAGGGTTTACAATATATACTTTAATTTACCACAGTATACCTTTATATAATATAGTAAGTATCACTTCACATATAATGTAAGAGTAAGATATTGCAACACTTCCATCTCCTCCTCTTGTGCTTTGTGCTAGTGTTGTCATATATTTAGACATATATATATATATATATGTCATAAACTGCACAACAGGTCATTACTTTTGCTTTAATCAATTATCTTTTAAAGAAATTAAAAAGAAAGAAAAATATTTTTTCTGTTTACCTTTTGGGTTCTTTTAAAAATAAAGAGAATAGTTTTTATACTTATATGTGGGTTTGTGAAACTATTCATCACATGATATTAAGTGACAGAAAATTGATTTATTTTAATAGGATCACTGTCTTAAGAGCTGTAGTGGTCACTCTTATATAAGAAAGAATTGGCTTGGATCCATTGTCTTCCCTTTCTCTGCTCTTCTGCAACAATCTGAGGTAATAAAAAATGGTTCTTCTCTAATTATTCTAAGTTTTGACTTCTGGCTAATAGAAACACTTTCTCTTGTCTTTGAATCAGATTCCGTGACTGGTAGGTTGGTAGGTCATTTAAAGTAATTCTGTATTATAATGCTCTGGGATTTTGGAGTGTTCGAAGGTTTCAGCTATCTCTAGAATGGGGTGCACCCACAAATTTATTTCTAATATCTTTAGAGTGTTCACTGATAAAGAATAGGACACCTAGCCTTAGGTCTTAAAGCAACATTTATATTTGCATGTAACCATCCTATTAAGACCAGATTTATGACACATTCTAATTAATAATATTGCTTTGTGATCACAGATCCCAGGAATTTCAACTTGTCAGCATTGTTTATTGATAATGGTGAGATTGATGATCAGCACATGGTCTCTGTGAGACCCTCAGGGCGCTCTATTGTTGGGTTATGTAGCAGGAATATGCCTACATGGCCAACAAAGTATTAAAACCCCAGTCTAGACTCCACTTTAGGCTCTGTTACTTATTTACTGAGTGGTCTTAGGCAAGGTACTTGACATCTCTGACACATAGACATTGAAGATTTGAAGATGCAGAAGTGAATTTTCTACCTCAATGAATTTACTGTCTGTAGAAGAAAACTAACATTTCAGTACAATGTGATAATGCTGCAGTGCTTTAATGGAGGCATGAGATAGGTACTATGAGAACATACAGTAGGGAGTACTTTATGCTTCCTGGGGTTGGAGGAGGAAGTGGAGCAGGTAGGGGGGTTCAGAGAGTTTAGTGGAGCATGGGAGGAGACTAAAAGATCAAAGAAGACTTTACTGAGGAAATGACTTTGAATCAAGTCCTTAAAGATGAATTTGCCAAGCAAACAAGGTCATTTGAGTGAGAGGGAATCGTGTGTATTAGGACTACATTAGGCCGTATACAACAGAAAACTTGCCTAACAGTGGCTGATATAGGTAAGGGGTCTGTTTATCTCACCTAAAATGAAGTCCAGATGCCAGTGCAGCAGCTCAGGGTATCATCAAGAATCCAAATTACTTTTGTCTTTCTGCTTCACTGTCCTTATGATGTGGCTTTCATCCTCATAATTGCAAAATGTTCACTGCAACTCCAGCCTCATATTTATGTTTCAACAGGAGGCAGGGAGAAGCATGAAGCAGTAGTGCCTGTTTCAGGAAAACAGATAGTTCCCAAAAAACCCCAACAGACTTTTTGCATTTTAATTATGTGATATGACCACTGCTCAGCTAAGAGAATGAATATTAGGTAGGAGAGTAGAAGTGCCTATATAATGCGCAATCACAAGAAGTCATAGTAGAGTATGTTGCAAATATAAAAAACCAATAGGGACTTAAGTTATGGAAGTACAGGGCTTCCTACATTTGTAAATTCCTGTGGGCAGTTCTCAGTAAAGAGAAGTAATTAAGAAAGTGGACTTCAAAAGTGGACAAACCTGGGTTGTAATGCCAGTTCCACTATTCATTAGTTCTGTGATGCTGCACAAATTACTTCAACTCTCTGAGCCCCAGCTTCTTTATCTGTAAAATGGAGATAAGGACAGTATCTACTCCATTGAATGATATGATCTCTATCAAGCATTTGACACAATGCCTTATGCATAGTAAGTGCTTGGTAACTATTAGCTATTATTAGTAGTTATTTTTTAATTATAATTCACCTCCTCTCTCCAAACACCCCATTCCCCACAAGATTCTTCCTCCTGTGGGCCTCAGGGTTGTCTCTCCTGCTGTTACGTTTTTCTCTTTCTAGACCCAATGCAAAATGTAGCATGATCTTTTGGCATTTTGCCTCAGCCTGAATTAGATTTTCAAAGAGCTTTTATCACTCTGGTATAGTAACATGCTTCCTTGTTTCATCTCTTTCTTACTCCTATCCTCTCCACATAGTTCATATTAGGCAGGGACCCAAGGTGTCAGGGTGCCTATAGTTTGTATTAGGCAGGGACACAAGGTGTCAAGGGTGCCTAAGAACCTGATCATTCTTGGGCAGATGCATATTAATAGAAGCCCATGTACCCATGCAAGCCCGCTTTCTCCTATGGAGAGGACTGAGCTGGGCTATATTTGGCCAATATTTATTTCATCATTTATAATCTATTATATTAATATATCCTTTCAGATTAGTGGAACATTTCAAGTGAATGTTCCACCAGTTTTGCTTGGATATACTTGGAGTAAGACTTACGTATCTCCTAAAGAAGATTACAAGGGGCAGAATTTAAAAGAATGTACCTTCTTAAATATTTTTGCTACCATTGAACCTCAAATATCGTATGTCATCCATAATCCAAAACTAGATAAGGTAGGTTTTACACTGAATTACCTTTACATATACCATCAAAGAAGTGTACACTATTTTTACAATCCATAATAATAATTTCAAAGCTGGCAAAAATAAACATTGTTTTTTGATACTTTCTATGGGAACGATATGGTACAATATTGAAATACTTTGAATTTGATTCTAGTTTTCAGGTCAAATAGATGTTTTGCAAAGAGCACAGATTTTTAAAACAAATTGTAAGGCAGTATTTCCCAACCGAAGAATCACAACTACTGTTTTTAATGATGAAGGGATACAGATCTTAGTAACAAGATATATCAAGGCATTAAATCCACCTCAACAACTTCTGGAAATATTTCTTCATGATTCTAATGCAACACTTGTAAGTTATAATTATTTTTAAAAGCTTTATTGTGATTAAAAAGCACCTATGAGAATCACTGATACTTTTGTTTATTCAGGTTCAATATAGTCAATTGGCTCTCCTCAGAATATTTCTATTATTTGTGAATTATAAAGCTCCCTAGACTGGACCCTAAGCTAAAATCAAAAGTCCTAATTTAGATTGCCTTTTGCTACACTCTGCTTTTCCATCATAGGTTTCTTCCTGCCTATGTGTTCTGACTTCAAAGGAGATAATAGTGCTCTCAGATTTATTTCAAAGACTATATTTAAAAAAAAAAAAAAAATATATATATATATATATAAGTCACAGCTCCTTTGCTTATCAAGGATTGTGAGCCATGTTTATTATGTTGCATGCAGTCACCACTGTAGAAGGTCATAATAACGTATAAATAGCAGCTATTGTACATCAATTAAAATGTGAATGAACTTTCTGCATTAACTCATTGTTTGTTTATTTGTTTCCCTTTCTTCATTCCTACCTTAGTCTGAGTCTTTGTCTCCAGTACTTTAGGGGAAAACACCCACAGTATAATTTCTATTGTTTGAGAAAGCAGCCTGTACCACTCTCTCCCTGCCACAGCAGCTTATAATAAGCTTATATTAGTAAAAATAATTCTGATAGATTTTGAACCTAAAAGCAAATCAAACCTTTGCTATTCAACATCTTTTAAAAATTATTTGACAGTTATACAGTTTTTAACAATACTTGTTCAATGTTGACACGTATTGTTGTAATGTTTTAAATTTTAATAATTTATTATAATGGTTTACATGCACCATCTGGAGTCAGGCCAACTTGGGCTCAGTCCCCAGAGACTTCACATATTGTATTAGTCATGTGACACTGGACAAGTTATTTGATCACTCTAAACTTGTTTCCTCCTCTGTAAAACTAGAATAATAATAGTGTCTACTTTATAGGCTTGTAGTATACTTGTATACTAAATAATAATGCATGCAAAGCATTGTGCTTGGTGATGGACACTCAATAAATGTTAGTTAATATTATTCTAGGACATCATTGCTCGATTTGTATCTTTGATTCCTTTTATGTCTGATACACTGGATGAAAATGATGGTTCTGATATATGGATGACATCAGAGGTAACAAATTATAGTTTATAATGAAAATGTATACTATTTTTACTTGCTTTTTTCCACAAAGAAACTTTTTATTTATTTATTTTTTTAAATTATTTTTATTTTGTCAATATACAATGTAGTTGATTATTGTGTCCCATCACCGAAACCTCCCTCCCTCTTCCCTCTCCCCCCTCCCACCCAAGTGAGAAACTTTTTAAATATATTATGTTTTTATGTAGTACTTTGTCTTGTGAAATTTACAAGTATATGATAATTTTAAACATCATTTTCAGTTCTATAACAATTGATGGAAATAATTCATGAAGACCAAAAATGTTTTCAACAATCTAAGTGGTAGCTCAAGAATATTTTGATTCAACAGTAATTCCAGGAATCCAATATTATGATATTCTCTAAAGAGCAATATGGCTTATTACTATGGAGTTGGTCAGATCCTGAAGTCTAGGGCAAATACCACTACTTCCCAAAAGCTTTCCCCAGCCTTCCCCTCACCCCCTCATCTGAATGAAGAGGTCATATAGCAGTGCTCTTCCTTAGTACTTGGCTTAAAGTTGACTTTAGACTGGTTGCCAAATAAAATACAGGCTCCATGAAATATCTGGGACATACTTATGTGAAAAATTATTTGTTATTTATCTGAAATTCTAATTTAACTGGGCATCCTATGTATTTTCTTCTAAATCTGGTAACCCTAAATAGAGCATTTCTTCCATTCCACCTTCATTTACATTACCTTAATTTACATTTAGTTGCTTACGTATTGACTCCACACCCACACTCTGTACACGTACATCCCAATTTGAATCTCCTTGAAGGTGGAGGGAGACTTCGTTTTTCTCTATTTTTGTACTTATCACTGCTTTAAATTTAAAAAGAAAATATTTTTTTATTCTGTATTTTATACCGCTTTAAATTTAGCAGGCATTCATTAAATATTTTAAATTGGAAAATATAAATATGATGGAAGCCTAAAAGAGGGATACTTTCATCTGGAACTGACAGTTATAGCACTTACTTAGAAGGCTTTAGGGGCTGTGAGCTAAATTGGATTTAGGTGACACAGGGTTAACTTGATAGATAAGCTACCCTGCCTTCTGCTAAGTGGGGTCAAAGTAGACATGGGCATCTGATTTTGTTTCAGGATCCAGTGATTCAAATCTGTTAGAACTCAGAAAGGTGTTATTGAGTCTAGACTCTTCTGAGACTCTGAACTAATCAGAATATGTTCATGGGTATTATGATCCTGTAGAATGTTGAAAGAGGCTGAGCTAAAAACAACCATTCAGGCAAATACTAGACCCTTGAGTCCCCCAACCCAAACAATATATATAGCTAAGAGGTTATTACAGGCTTGGGATTCCTCTTGGTTAGTGTCTTTCCATTGACATGAACTGCTTGGCCATAGAATGCTCATGAGTGTATGATTGGTTAGATTTCACAAGACAGAGCTCTTTTCTCTCACCTAACATACAGTCTCTGGAGTCATACAAACCTGGGTTCAAATCCAAGTTCATGATTTCATAGCTGTGTGACCTAAGATAAATTATCTAACCTATTTAGACTTCAATTTCCTCATCTATATCATACAGGAGTTTTGAAAAGACTAAACGAGATACCATGTGCAAAGCATCTGGAATCCAAGAAAAATTAATTACCTACCCTCATCCTTTCCCTTATTTTCTTATGAAATCCAGTTAGAAGAACCTCCTTGGCCTGATGTTGAAGTCTGTTCATATTCTGCACTTAGCTCTCCTGTTCATACTTTTCTCTCAGGAGGGCCTCCTTGCCATCCTCCCTAACTCCCAGCCCTCCACCATCACATTCAGTCAGTGCATACTAATATGACCATATCAATTGTTAAAACAATGAAATGCTTCCATACTAATTGGTAAATTGTCGCTGCCAAGAACTCCCTAGCTCCCTCACCCCTACCTCCATCTGCCTGGTCACCACAGTCCCTTATGTGGGGCTGTAATAAACTGGAGAGCACATGTCCCATCTAAATGGTATAGCTGCTACTCAGCAAGAACAGATTGTTGCCATGTGAACATCTGGGTCATGTATTTGTTAGATCCTTTGATTCTTTTCAACAGAAGCCAGAAATTCAGAGTTTTATATGAAATTTCCCATTTTTTAAAACATTCTGGGGGCCAAACAAAACATACCTGTAGAATAGAATTAAGTCAAACCAGCAGTCTGCCACTTTTGCTGCACTTTTTCTCTCCTGCTGTACTGTTTCACTACGCACCATAGGTTTGATCTGATCCACTCAGCTTAGCTGTTCCGCTCTTTCCGTTGAAGACATTTCAATCACTCTTCCTGATTGGGCTCCAACACAGATGTCTAGCTCTGTTTGATTGGAAGGTACTATATTGGTACATGACAGAATGTATCTCCATTGCCCAAAGGATTACTTCCTCCAAAAGCACATGAGATTCCTTATCAGATAAAGTTCCTCAAAATACCAGTCCCTATGTCCCTGATTGCCCAGGGCAGTTTAATATTTGTCCAAACCAAAAATGTCCCATTTTGGGTATAGATTACCTGGTCACATACAATATCCATGTCAAGTGTCCTGTAAGAAAGGTGACCCCAGTGTTCCAAGTCAATGTTCTCTTCTAGTGCCATAGCAAAGCCAGAGCTTTCCACTTCACTGTCATCTTAGCAGCCTGGCAAAAACAAGTGTGTTTGGAACTGGAGTGGGTAGTGTCTCTAAATCTGTTGGATGCTTGCATTACTCAACTTTCCCTTCCTTTGTTGCTGTTGTTGTTGCTGCTTCTGTTTTGCCTTAGCGCTGCATCAGTTTGGCTATTGGAAATAAGGAAGAGCATGCCATACTTCTCTGTAATTTCTTTCTGTATTTTGGAAAGAAGGCATTGGTTGTCCTTGGAACTTCAGTGTTAGAAGTAAGTATCGGAGTTCGTATTGAAATAGTGTAAGCAAAACTAAATCAGATTTTAGCTGCGAGTTTAAAAGACTTCAACCCCAAGTTTCCATCTCTTTGAAAGCTAATTAGGGAATTTCATGAACAAACAATTTTTAGTTAAGAGAATAATGTTGGTTTATCAAAATTTTTGCAGTGCAAAGAATAACTTCCTTTTGTGAAGGAAGTTTTTACTCCTTTGTAATAGTACTAAAAATAGTGATACTTCATGGGGTTACTGGGACTATTAAATTACCTAGTACGAATAAGGCACTGACAACAGCACCTGTTCACGGCATACAATAAATGATGGTGGTAGTGGTTATGTAGTGATAGTTACAGCATAGTTGTGGTGGTGGCTGTTATCACCCATCATCACCACTATCATCATTATATATTTCTAATATTGCATTTAAGATATTTAAGAAACATTTCTCTTCATGCTCCATTCCTCAGCTTTTAAGCTTCAAAGAAGTGGGCCATAAATTTATGTTTATCTATATGAAATTTTTATAACTTAATATATATACTTCTACATTCATGCCTCCAGAAAGCTGTCCTTATTGGACTGTTTCTAGCCCTACCATGAACATCTTGCTAAGTGTCAGCATTGCCAGTGTTACCTTATGGTTTTTGTCATGATCATTTATGTCCCTATATTTCTTTGGCAAAGCTTATTATTTCCATGTCAAATTTGTTAACTGAAAGTCTATGGTTAATTTGCTCAATATGGTCACTTGCTGTAGTTTTAAATACCACTAGATGGCAGGAAACAGTTAACAATATTTCCATAAATATTTGCACTTGTACCTGTGAACCAGCACCATGGAAGGCAGCCACACATGGTTTCACCTCAGCTGTGTGGTTGAGGTGAAGCCTCCTCTTTATTATAGAGTAGATGAGCACAGTGATCAAGAACAAGGGGCTTGGAGTTAGGTAGACCAGGCTAGACAGCATGGTGTTAAGAATATGGTCTGGGGGACAGACAGGCGTTCAAAACCTAGCAATGCCACTTACTAACTGTATGATCTCAGCCTTGTTTACTTCTCTGAGCCTCAGTCACCTCCTCACAAAACAGGAATAATGCCATTTACTCTTATCCTAGACAAGCCCCTAAACCTTTGATTCTTCATCTGAAAGATGGGCATTAAAAAAAACCCTCTACCACATGGAATGTGAAGTGAATTAAAGTGAGAAAATTAGTGTGAATTCTTAACGTAGTACCTGATACACATAAATACTCAACAAATGTTACATAGTCCTATTATTACCTGAAATTTTTATTCCTTCCTAAGAAAGCCTTACAATACAAAAGATATGTGCAGAGAGCAAATTACTAACAACATAATGACTACTTTTTATTCCTCAGATTGGTTTCCTGTATACTTTATCCTCTAATTTTAAATCTTATTCTCAAATTTAATTTAATGGCTTTTTAACTTCACTCGGTATTGTAAGAACCTTAAAACAGTTTCCATTCCCGAATTCTGCCTAGTGTTTACCCTCAGTCTCCAAGTATATTCTAACCAAAGCAGGGCTAGTTCATATAGCACCATCTTGTGAATTAGGCAAAAGTGCCCCTACCTCAAAACACTTTGGTCCTATATGTTGGGAAATCATCATGATATACTGATTTTGTTAGAATAAATATCTTGTTGCCATCGGGACACACCCTGCAGGACCGTACATGGCAGCACTGGTTTATAAGTTCTCTTGTCTGAATCCTCCTGCTAACCTGGGCCCAAGGATTTCTAGAACTTTAGTTTTTTTTCCTTTTCAAAAAAATTTTAAAAGCCCTAAAAAAGGCTTTTAGAAACCAGAATCATTACATTATAATTTCCACATACAGAAGTTAGTTAAATCCACCAAAAATAACTTTAATTCTTTTTTCCTCATACAGGGGCATGTGGCTTATGTATTAACTCAAGAAACTGATGAATATTTGCTTTGGAATCCATCAACTGGGCAATGTCATAAGCAGTTTGACCCATTTTGTCCCTTACAAAGTGTAGACTGTTTGTTTGATGATAGGAATGTAAGTATGTGGAGAAAATCTTATTTTGAATTATCTCCTCAAGAGTTACTCTGGCTACACATTAGAATCACTAGAAGAACTTTGAAGAAAATATAGATGTTCAGTCAGAATCCCTAGGGTATAGGGCCTTTTATCTCTAAAATGACCACAGGTGATTCTGTAGTACCTCTGAGGTTAAGAACCAGTGAGGTAGTCTAATGATCACAAAACCTTGAAATCTCTTTATCTCCTGTCTCAGAACCTCCCTTGGTTTCCACCACTTCATTGGGTAGTAAGACTATAAAATTTTCTTTCATCCTTACCAACTGTGGACCTGTGTTCCCATGAACCTACACTAATTTTATGTTAATATTTTCATAGGTCTGGTTTAATATTCAACAAAATAATACGCCAATGGCTGTACATTTTGACTATTCAAAGGAAAGTTTCTGGAAGCAGTTGCTTCCAAAAAATTTTCAAGGGACAAAAGCACAAAGCATACAGGTAAATCATATTTTTCCAGTTGTGTCTGTATGAAAGTTACCATTGCTTCTAATCTTTACTAGTTGTGACAATTCTTGTTATGTTTTATAGTTGATTGCTTATTGAATTATTTGGCAATGATAATCAAAAACTAGTTTTATCCGCCATCCAGCCCATGTTTGGGATACTTTGGCCCCTTTCCTCCACCTGCAGAAAAAAGAAATTGAGAAGAAAGCGTCATCTCAAATGTGAATTTAGATTTTAAAACAGAACTTTAAAAGTTTTCATCATGAAACAGCATGTAAAGTTAACGATGGTATAGTAAAGTCTCACTTACTTTGACCTAGCCCTTCTGCTCCACATCCATGGTGATGATCAAGTATAAAAACTGACAAACAAAAAAGCTTATCTGGGCTCCAAACCAGGGTAGTTATCTTATGGAATAGAAACAGGACAGAAACACTAGCTATGAGTAGGGCTGAAGCAGGGATGGCAGAAAAGTCTGAAAATGCCTAATGAAAGCCAGGGAACTAACACAAGCATCACTTTTTGAAGCCAGGGACTATGATGGGACTCCCCTAGTGCCCTACTTTTGAAAGAATGGGGGTACGGGGAAGCCGTAGACTTACTGCCTAAGGCTCAGGAGGCAGGAGACCAGGAACTGGCCCAATCACTAGGTGCTTGGCCAGTGGATTGTGATGTACTCAATATCACTTTGGGAAGACGTTCCAAATACCATGTCAACAGCTGTTTCTGGATTGAGGGACATGGTATATGGTAGAGTGCAGGCAATTACAAACTCTACAGACTAGGAGCAATGAGCCCAGAGGGAGAGAGAGAGAAAGGATGAGAAAAAGAGAAAAAGAACAATCGAAAAACAGGCAAAAGACAATTCATAGAAGTAGAAACTCTAATGCTCAAACTTACTCATAATCAGAGAAATACAATTTAAAACAATAAAACACTATTTCACGTTCATTAAATTGGCAAGAAATGTGTGATCATACCAAGTGTTGGAAAAAAGGCAGAGAAACAGTGGGAGTGTAAACAGCATAAATGTTTTGGAAAACAATATGATTAACTTGGTAAAATTGAAGGTGCTCAACCTTTGATCCATCAATTCAAACTTCTAAGTATGTACCATAGAGGAACATGCACAGGGAGACAGGTATAACAATATCCATTACAGAACTGCTTGAGTTATTAAAAAATTAGAAACAATTAACTGGAAAACTGGTACATGAGTTGTGAAGTATTCATACAATGAAATCTCCTATACAGTAATTTTTTAAAATGTATGAACCAATTTACAGCAGTTCTCAATTTGACGGTACATACAGTGTATCTGAATCTCTGAGGGAGGAACCCACACGTCAGTAGTTTTTAAAGCTCCCCAGAAGATTCTATTGTGCAGCCAAGGTTGAGAACTACTGACCTAGAGCCATGCATGTTAATATGAACAGATATTAAAAATGTAATGTTAGAATAAAGAAGATGTGAAATGACACAAACAGTACAAAACCATTTATATGAAATTTGAAATCTGTATATGTTCGCATATATATATAGATATTTAGCGATGTATAAAAGCATTTATGGGAATGATAAATACCAAATTCAGGTTAGAGGTTAGCTTTGGGGAGAGAAAAAAAGGAATGAGATCAGGGAGCAGCATACAAAGTACTTCAAGTCTGTAGTGTTTTACATCTTTTTAAAAAATCTAAAACAAATATGGAAGAATGCAAATATTAGATATAGCTGGGTGGTAGTTATGTTGCGTGGATGTTCATTACGTTATTCTCTATGCTTGTCCATATATTTGAGGCAATTCACAATATCAGAAAGAATGCATGGCGATTGGGGGGGGGAATCAAAGAGTACAGAAGAGTGCACAGTGAAGACTTTTGAAAGAAAGTGAGCCAAGACACTGGGTACCAATCAAGCTTTATTAAAGGAAAAGAATCTGCCAGGCTGCACTCAAAGTGGAGTACAGCACCAGGTGTGGGGGTGAGAGAGCTTATATAGGGCACCAAGGGCTGGCTGATACAATCAAGGAGGGGCATTATGCTAATGTGGAAGCTTTGAAACCAGGGTGGAGAACTGCACCCTTGCAGAAGCAAAAGGGTTTCTGTTTTGCAGAAGTCACAAGGCTTCTCGTAAAGGGAAGGGGGGAGGGGTTTAATGCTGGAGTGGAAGACAAAGCCAGTGGGTATTTTGTGCTTATTGTGTGCACAATGGTGCTGGTCATGTCCAAGATCCATCAACTTTCTTTCCCCTTTCTCTCCCCATTTTCCCCACCATTTAAGAAATAACTACTGTCAGTAGTTTATTGTGCATCCTTCTAAACATTCTCCATGCAGATGCAAGTATATATATATATTTTTTTCATAGTTCCTGTTTGAAAAGTCATTTGAAAGAAGGGGAAATGTGCTTATTTCTCTTGAGCAAACTGCATTTACAGCCTCTACAACCCATGTTTTGCTCTCCCCATCCCAAAGCTGTGACTGAAGCATTGCTGCCTTCTGGGGGGGGGGGGGGAATGATCTATTTAGAGATGAGGTTTCTGTTTGTTTAATATATAATCATTCTCTTATTCATCTAGGTGATAGTTATTGATTTCCTGCTGTGAGCCAGTGAGGTGTAGGTACCACAAGGAAAAAGACATGTCTCAGTGTTCTTTGAACTTATGTTCTAGAGGAGGAAAAGAAGGAAATAAGCAATTGCAGTGCAGAGTGATAAATGCTGTTTCAGAAGAAATGAATGTGCTTTGGGGAGCACACAGCAGAGGGACCTGAGGGAGTGAGGGTTGCAGCGGCTTCCTGGGAAAAGTGATGACAAGCTGAATGAGGAAGGGTGAGCAGGAGCTGGTCGAGATAAAAATCAGGGAAGAGAGTGGTCCCAGTAGAGAGTGGGAACAGCAGGCAGGTAGACCTGCAGTGGCATGGTAATGTCTATCCAGGAGCTAAAAGGCCAGCTTGGCCTCTGCCAGGGGCATGAGCAGAGGTGAGTGGTGTCGCCTCTCCCCCAGGGTGACGGAGATGCAAAGGATTACTCAAAGCCCATTTCTTCTGAGCAGTGAGAGGCCCCAAAAGGATTAATTCCAGACGAATCCTTCAAGGGAGAAGAATTCTTGGAAACTAACCTTGAATCAGGGTTTTTTCTCAGTGTTTATTGTCTAGGCAAGAAAGTTACAGAAAAGGAACATGGGTGGTTACAAAAAGAACAGTAAGATATTCATCATGGCAACAATCATTAGGTTTAGCTGCACCAAGGACATCTGCCCTTAGAGCCAGCGTTTTTGCTGTGTTACAATTGTTTATCTACAACAGAGACTTAAGCCTGTGAAAAGTTTTCTGTCTTTCCCAAGCTTAATATTTCTATTTGCAATTCTAAAAAGTTAGGCCCTATAAAATACATTTGCTTTTTTAATATTAGTACCCTCCACAAGTGGAGGGATGACCAGAGCCTTGGTGAGGATTTGGACCTTTATCCTCAGTGCAGTCAGAAGCCAATATCACTAAGGCAAGGGCTGCCATGAAGAAAATTGTGCTTTTAAGAGCCACTCTGACTGAAGGTGGAAACTAAACCTTCTGCTAAGTTGAATCTACAGATATAAATCTCATAGTTGTGTTTGACTTGTATCTCTATTGATTTCTTTCCTGTGGTATAATGGCCACATACATACCAGGAGAAACCACTATCTAGAGTGAACACTGTCTATTACACACATTGGGAACACAAACTTGAGTGTCAATGAGGAGAATGTGGGTATTCAGAGATGAGGTTCTCAGGAAAAGCCTCTTGAAGCTTTGAAGGACATGAGTTCCCTGAAAGAAAGGGGCCTTTGCCAGAAAAGGAAAGCAAACACCCCATAAACTTATCAAGCAGCATATCCCAGGCCTCTTTTTCGGATCTGAAGGTGGCCTAACTAATCCACAGGAGTTGCCCAGTACGGGTGAGGGGTGGAGAGCAGTTGGTGACAGTGGTCAGTGAATTCAGTCTCCCTATCCTGTCTGGGAGAGCTGCCAGCTCCTGCAAGGTGACACTGGAGTTCATATTTCCCTTTCTATCTCCTGCCTCTTGCCATGTTCTATTGTGGGGAAACTCCTTGTGCCTGAGACTATCCTCTAATGTAGTGGTTTCTCAACCATGGTAAGCATCAGAAACAACTGGAGGCCTTGTTAAAACATAGATTGCTGGGCCTCACCCCCAGAGTTTCTGATTCCATGGGTCTGAGGTGAGGACCAAGAATTTATATTTCTAACAGATTCCCAGGTCCAAGGTTATTGGTTTGGGGGCCATACTTTGGGAACCTAGAGGCCTGTCAAGTATTGCCCCCTTTCTGCACAACCATCATTGCTGTCATGAGGAGGGAACATCTGTCCCTTTACCTACAGCTGCCTCTATTTCTCAGCTCAGGAATACCTAAAGTAAAAACTGTCTAAGGCTGGCCAGGTAGCTGAGTTCGTTAGAGTGCAGTGTTGATAACACCAAGGTCAAGGATTCAGATCCCCAAACTGAACTGGCCAGCCACAAAAGAACAACAACTAACTAACAACAACAACAACAAAAACTGTCTTAATCAAGTTCTTCACTCTTGTCCATGTGAGTCCTGCAGGGAGGGTAAGGAAGGGTTGGGGGGGAACTTAAGTCCTCCCCTCCTCTCAGCAAATCCTGCCCAGAAGGGGAACATGAGGAAACATGGAAGAGCATTGCTCCCTGTTGCTGGGGGGCTACCTAGAGTAAAGGCTTGGAGACAGGGGAGGTTGAAGTGGAGAGAGAGAGTGTGTGTGTGTGTGTGTGTGCGCGCGCACGCACACATGTGTGCACACACAAGCACAAAGAACTGACTTCTGCTAGCTGAAAGAAACAAATAATCAGAGGAGTATAATAAATCATGGTAGTAGAGTAAAAATAACAATAATGTCTGCTGTTTATTGAGCATTCCTTATGTGCCAGGCTTTACATGTATTATGTTATTTTTAAATCTTTACAAGATCCCAGAGCAGTAGGCACTATTACTGTCCGTATTTTAAAGATGAGGTGATTGAAACTCAGAACACAGAGGTTAAGTAATTTCGCCAAGGTCGCAGTAAGTGGAAGAGATCGGCACAGCTGCCAAACATTATTTGGTCATATCAATATGCATGTCAGATGCTTGTTTGAATAAATGAATGGAGATAGCAGGTCTGTCTTACCCATGAAAAACATCTTCTTTTGTAGAACTGTTCCTCCTCCCATGCTCTGGTGAAGCAGTATCAAACTCAAAGGAAACACTGTTATCTATGTTTATCTGTGGGACTGAGTGTTTTGCCACATGAGCCTGGTTTGGTTTCTCCCTTATTATAGGTAGCACTCCCTGGGTGACTGTAGTATAAAGGTGGTCTATGCTTTTTCCTAACTTTCGATTATCTGTTATTTCAGCCTGAAGAAATAATTTATTCCGATACTGATAAAAGCATGGTAGAAGATCTAAGGAACAGGTACAGTATTTTCTCTCTAATCTCTTGCTTAGTCACTTTTCAGTTCTCTAACCTAGCCTTTCAAAATTGGCCTATTAGATTCAGCAATGGAAGTGTGAAAAGAGAGATTATAATAATTCCATTGAACCACATGTTTCTTGGTACGTGCACAGAAAAGTGGCCCCTCTGCTAACCAGGGCACTCTCTGAAAGAATAAGTTAACTCTGCAAAACATTATGGGCCACAGTGGGAAAGTTCTCAACATAGACTCCTGTTGAACCTATACTAATAATAATGCAGTAGCTAACACTTCTTGAAAGAATATGAAGGTAAATGGCCCACAACTCAGGATATGGTAAAAACATCTGAGTTGGGTGGTAGAAACAGGATTACTGTCACTTCTGAGTGCTTCCTGCTTCCCCAAACACATCCACACAATTGCCTTAAGGAGTTGTTCAGTCAAGCCCAAAGGGCCACAGACTTTGAAGCAGGCATCACTCCTACTACAGATGTGTCAGAGGCTTCTAGAGCCAAATGCCTCCAGTGACTCACACTCACACTGCAGAGTGGTGTGTAAGCCACAACCACGTAATCAAAATAAAGCATGACAGGGGCCAGCCCGGTGGCGCACTGGATAGTGCGCCGCTTGGGAAGCGCGGCGGGGCTCCCGCCCGAGGGTTCAGATCCCACGTACAGACCGGTTCCCGCTCACTGGCTGAGCGAGGCGTGGGAGCAACACCGAGGTTTGCAATCCCGTTGCCGGTCCCCGGTCCGGTACGGGGGCAACACTGAGGGTTGCGATCCGTTGCCGGACATGGAAAAAAGACAAAATAAATAAATAAATAAAATAAAGCATGACAAAGATCATTTTGCCACTCTCTTTTCTCATTAGCGCATAACTTCGTATAGCATACATTATACGAAGTTATACGAAGAAGCCATTTAAATTTTCTTTCTGAGGGGCCGGCCCGGTGGCGCACTGGATGGTGTGCCGCTTGGGAAGTGCGGCAGCACTCCCGTCCGAGGGTTCGGATCCCATGTACAGACCGGTTCCCGCTCACTGGCTGAGCGAGGCGTGGGAGCAACACCGAGGTTTGCAATCCCGTTGCCGGTCCCCGGTCCGGTACGGGGGCAACACTGAGGGTTGCGATCCGTTGCCGGACATGGAAAAAAGACAAAATAAATAAATAAATAAAATAAAGCATGACAAAGATCATTTTGCCACTCTCTTTTCTCATTAGCATATACCCCCATCCCACTCCCTGTCATTCCCACTCTTCATTTCCCAGTTCTTAATAAAACAGGAAGAAATGTAGTAGGGAAATGGTTCCCAAATTCTGGTTTTCATCAGAATCACTTCCAAAACTATTTAAAAATACAGATGGCAGTGTCCCAGATGAGACCTGTTGAATCAATATCTGGAGGTGAAAAGTTCTGATAAACCATTACAGGTGATTCTGATACATAACCACTATTGAAACACTCTGCAAACTCCAAACTACTTAGTTGCATTATAAACTCAGCCAAAAGGAGACTCCCAGCAGCTGCTTTTGTAACACGCACTGTGGTTAGAGAATCAATCCCATACAATCATCGTGCACAGAGGATAGGCTTCCAGGAGTACCCCATCATCCAACCCATACTATGACCCCCTTTTCTCCCCTCCTCAGCACAATTCATCACCAGGAACTGTTCTAGGGGCTCGGTTTACAGGTAAAAATCCCTGCCCTTTTGAACTTACATTCTAGTAGGAGAAAGCTGATCACCATACTTGTCAGTTCAATGCGTCATTTTCTCCCAACTCTGCTTGCTAAATTAACTGATCTAACAATCTTGTTCCTGCTGACATCATCCCAGACAAGATATCTGAATTTTTGGAAAGTTTCTTGAAAACACAATGTCTATGTCAAAGGAGGGTCTTGAAGAGTAGGAATGTTAACCCAGTAATCAGGTGGCAGTTGTTGTCAAATCACACCCACTAGGCTACACACAGGTAACTGGAAAAGAGATGTGCCTTGGACAGCTAATTGCTGGCTACCCTGGGAAACTTCTTGCCTTCTCAAATGAAGCAAGAGCCTGCTTCTCCCTGACTTGATTAATGTGAATGGCAGTAGACATCCCTAACTATAGAGGTCTGGTTTCCTCCAAAGTCCAAAAAGTATCTTTCTCAATTGCGTAGGTGAGTCTGCCAGTGGCGGCCAGCAGCAACACCAGCCAACAGAACTGAGCAGCTGGATGCAGCCCCTCGCCCCACCTCAGACCCGGGGGAAGCAGTAGCCCACAGATCTGACCCACCAGGTTTGGCCCAGCAGAACTCCATAGTGCTAGGGGCTCATTCTACAACCACAGAGTCTCAAATGGGAACCAAGGCAGTCTAACATAACCACCACCACACCTACTGTCAAGCAAAGACAATTCACCCCCCACAGTAGCAACCAGGGCCACTCCACAGCCAACCTCAGTGTAACAGAAGAAGCAAACCCCCTGCCAAATGACCAAGCATCAGTGAAAAAATACTAGAAGTACAAACAATCAAGAAAAAATGACACTACCAAAAGAATACAGTAATGCCCCAAAGTCAAACTCAATGGAACAGGAAATCCTTGAAATGTCTGAAAAAGAATTTCGAGCAATGATCTTAAGAAAACTTGAAGAAATAAAGAAAGACTCAACTAGAGAAAAGAATGAAACAAGAAAAAATATCCAGAATATTAAGAAGGAAATCTACAAAGAGATTAATACCATAAAAAAGAGTGTAGCAGAACTTCTAGAAATGAAAGACTCACTCAATGAAATAAAAAACACAACTGAGAGCTTGAGCAGCCAGGTAGAACAAGCAGAAGAAAGAATTTCAGGGCTCAAAGATGGTCTTTTTGAAATAACTCAGGCAGACCAAAAAAAAAAAAAAAGGAAAAAAGAATTAAAAATAATGAGGAAAACCTAAGAGAGATAGCAGACAACCTCAAGCACTCTAACATCCGAATTGTGGGTATTCTGGAAGGGTAAGAGAAAGGAAAAGGTATCAAAAACCTACTCAAGGAAATAGTAACAGAAAACTTCCCAGGTGTAGGATGAGATACCAACCTTCAGATCCAGGAAGCTCAAAGGTCACCAAACAGATTCAACACAAAACAATCCTCCCCGAGACATATTATAGTTAAATTTGCAAAGCTCAAAGACAGAATTCTACAAGCAGCAAGAGAAAAGCATCAGGTCACTTATAGGGGAACCCCCATCAAACTAACAGCAGACTTCTCAACTGAAATCGTACAGGCAAGAAGAAAGTGGAATGATATATTCAAAATACTAAAAGAAAAAAACTGCCAGCCAAGAATTCTTTACCCAGCAAGGCTTTCCTTCAGAAATGAGAGAGAAATAGTGTATTTCCCAGACAAACAAAAGTTGTGGGAGTTCACCACCACATGACCAGCCCTGCAAGAAATTCTCAAGGGAGTGATTCATCTGGAATCTGAATGATGGTGACCATCACCACGAATACACAAGAAAGAGCAAACACACAGTTAAAACAAAACTGCCAGCAAGAAAGAGAAAGAAGCTAAATCATCCCACCTTAAATTCCCAACTCACATTGAGGAAGAGAAATAAAACTGGAAATAATGATCAAAAAATATTTAGGGCCGGCCCAGTGGTGCACTGGAGAAGTGCGCTGCTTGGGAGCGTGGCGGCGCTCCCACCGAGGGTTCGGATCCCATGTGGAGACCGGTTCCTGCTCATTGGCTGAGCGCGGTGCGGGCGCAACACCGAGGGTTGCGATCCCGTTGCCAGTCCCCGGTACGGGCACGACACCGAGGGTTGCGATCCCGTTACCGGTCAGTAAAAAAGACAAAAAGGAAAAAAAAATATTTAAACCACCTAAACAAGTAGCAAATAAATGACAGGAATTAAACAGTACTTCTCAATAACTACTCTAAATGTGAATGGACTAAACTCTCCCCATTCAAAAAACACAGACTAACTGACTGGATTAAAATGATAGACCCAAGTGTATGCTGTCTTCAAGAGACTCACCTCACCTGTAATGACACTCATAGACTAAAAGTGAAGGGATGGAAAAAGATATACCATGCAAATGGAAACCCAAAAGGAGCAGGAATAGCTATTCTTATATCAGACAAAATAGACTTTAAACCAAAAAAAATTTAAAAGACAAAGAAGGCCATTATATAATGATAATGGGAACTATCCAGCTAGAAGACATAACAATCATAAGTATGTATGCACCCAATACCAGAGCACCTAGATATATCAAGCAAACACTCTTAGACCTAAAGAAGGAGATAGGACCTAATACATTAATAGTGGGTGATCTGAACACCCCTCTCTCAGTATGGGATAGGAGTTACAGACAACAAGTCAACAAAGAGACACAGGATTCAATCTACACCCTAGACCTACTAGACTTGGCACATATATATGGTATATTTCACCAAACAGCTAAAGAATACACTTTCTTCTCATCAGCTCATGATACATTATCCAGGATAGACCACATATTAGGTCACAAATCTAGTCTCAGCAAATTTTAAAAAATTGAAATCATTCCAACAATCTTTTCAGACCACAATGGACTAAAACGAGATAAACAATAACCAAAACTCTGGAAGCTACATAGATACATAGAAAATAAATAATAGGCTCCTGAATGACCTGTGAGTCCAAGAAGAAATTAAACAGGAAATCAAAAAATTTCTTAGAAACTAATGAAAAAAAGATACATCATACCAAAACTTGTGGGGTACTGCAAATCTGTACTAAAAAGCAAATTTATTGCAGCAAATGCTTATATCAAAAAAATGGAAAGACTTCAAATAAATGATCTAACACTATGCCTCAAAAAACTTGAAAAACAACAAAAATCCAAACCTAAAGGCAGTAGATGGAAAGAAATAATTAAGGTCAGAGCAGAACTAAATGAAATAGAGACCCAAAAAACAATAGAAAATATCAACAAAACTAAAGTTGGTTTTTCAAGAAGATAAACAAAATAGACACACCATTAGCTAGATTGACAAAAAAAAAGGAGAGGGAAGACCCAAATAACAAAAATCAGAAATGAAAAGGGAGACATTACAACTGATACCACAGAAATACAAAGAATCATTAGAGACTATTATAAATAACTGTTTGACAACAAATTTGAAAATCTGGAAAATATGAATAAATTTCTAGACACATATAAATTCCCAAGACTGAACCAAGAAGAGATAGAAAACCTGAACAGACCAATAACAAGCAAGGGGATTGAAGTGGTAATTAGCAATCTTCCAACAAAAAAAGGTCAGGATCTGGATGGCTTTACAGCTGAATTCTATCAAACTTTAAAAGAGGAGTTAATACCAATTCTCATGAAACTATTCCAAACAATTGAAACAGATGCTACTCTCCCAAACTCATTCTATGAGGCCAGTATAACTCTGATACCAAAACCAGATAAAGACACAACAAAAAAAGAAAATTACAGGCCAATATCCTCGATGAATGTAGATGCTAAAATCTTCAACAAAATATTAGCAATTAGAATAGAGCAACTTATTAAAAAAAATTATACACTATGATCAAGTGGGATTCATTCCAGGGATGCAAGGATGGTTCAACATATGAAAGTCAAAAAATATGATACATCACATCAACAAGCTCAAGGACAAAGACCATATGATTATCTCAATAGATGCTGAAAAAGCATTTGACAAAATTCAACATTCCTTCACAATAAAGACTCTCAACAAATTAGGTATAGAAGGAAAATATTTTAACACAATAAAAGCCATTTATGACAAGTCCACCACCTGTATTATCCTGAATGGGGAAAAATTGAAGGCCTTCCCCTTAAGGACAGGAACAAGACAAGGATGTCCACTCTCACTGCTTCTATTCAACATAGTACTGGAGGTACTAGATAGAGCAATCAGGCAAGAGAAGGAAATAAAGGGAATCCAGATTGGAAAAGATGAAGTCAAACTTTCCCTATTTGCAGATGACATGATATATAGAAAAACCTAAAGACTCTATCAAAAAACTCCTAGAGCTGGTTAATAACTTCAGTAACATTGCATGATACAAAATAAATGCCCCCAAATCAGCACTTACATACTCAAATAATGAATTAACAGAAAGAGAAATAAAGAAAGTAAGCCCATTTACAATTGTCACCAAAAAAATACGTTACCTAGGGATCAATTTAACCAAGGAGGTGAAAAACCTCTACAGTGAGAATTACAAACCACTTTTGAAAGAAATTAAAGATGACACAAAAAGATGGAAAGATATTCCATGCTCTTGGATTGGAAGAATTAACATTGTGAAAATGTCTCTACTATCCAAAGTGATCTACAGATTCAATGCAATCCCCACCAAAATACCATACCCAAAGTGATCTACTGATTCAATGCAATCCCCATCAAAATACCAATGACATTCTTCACAGAAATGGAAAAAACAATCTTACCTTTCATATGGAAAAACAAAAGACCCCAAATAGCCAAAGCAATCCTGAGCAAAAAAAAAATAAAGCCAGTGGCATAACTCTGCCTGACTTCAAATTATACTACAAAGCTGTTGTAACAAAAACAGCATGGTACTTGTACAAAAATAGATATTCTGACCAGTGGAGTAAAACAGAGAACCCAGAAATCACTCCTCAGGCTTATAGCCATCTGATATTAGACAAAGGCAGCAAAAAACCTACATTGGGGAAAAGATTGCCTCTTCAACAAATAGTGCTGGGAAAACTGGATATCCGTATGCAGAAGAATCAAACAAGATATGCATCTCTCACCACATACTAAAAGCAACTCAAAACGGATTTAAAACCTAGGCATAAGACCTGAAACTGTAAAATTACTAAGGGAAAATATAGGTGAAACACTTCAGCAATTAGGTCTGAGCACTGGCTTTATGAACATGAGCCCAAAAGCACAAGCAGCAAAAGAAAAAATAAACGAATGGGACTATATCAAACTAAAAAGTTTCTTCACAGCAAAGGAAACAATCAACAGAGTGAAAAGACAACCTACAGAGTGGGAGAAAATTTTTGCTAACTATGCATCCAACCAGGTGCTAATATCCAGAATATACATAGAACTCAAGCAATTATACAGTAGAAAAATTAATGACCCAATTAAAAAATGGGCAAAGGAGCTGAATAAACATTTTTCAAAAGAAGACATACAAATGGCCAACAGATACATGAAAAAATGCTCAACGTTACTAGTCATCAGGCAAATACAAATTAAAACCACATTGAGATACCACCTCACTCCAGTTAGACTGGCTATGATAAAAAAGATGGTGAATAACAAATGCTGGCGAGGGTGTGGAGAGAAGGGAACACTACTGCACTGTTGATGGGAATGTAAATTAGTATAACCACTTTGGAAAATAATATGGAGGTTTCTCAAACAACTACAGATAGATCTTCCATATGATCCAGCAATCCCTCTTCTGGATATATATCCAGAGGAATGGAAATCATCATGTCGAAGAGATACCTGCACTCCCATGTTTATTGAAGCTCTGTTTACAATAGCCAAGATATGGAACCAACCTAAATGTCCATCAATAGATGATTGGATAATGAAACTATGGTATATATACACTATGGAATACTACTCTGCCATAAAAAAAGAGTGAAATATTCCCATTTGCAACAACATGGATGAACCTGGAGAAACATGTTGAGTGAAATGAGCAAAGCACAGAGGGATAAATACCACATGTGCTCACTCATATGTGGGAGCTAAGAGAGAAAGGAATGCAGGAAAGAAAGACCACAGTAGTGCCATGATCCAGCAGAGGGAGGGAACATTCCTAGGGCTACAAATTGGAGTGGAGGGGAGAGGGGGAGGGGGAGAGAGGTTGGGGAACAATTGGGAGGGGACAAAGGGTACAAAAGTAATTTCTGGTAATGGGTATGCCCCCAGTATGAATCTGGGCAGGGGGGGACAACCAGCTTTGTATCTCATGAATATTCATAATAAATAAATAATAATAATAAAAAGTATTCTCATTCCTAAATAAAACTAACAAAATTCTTATCACATTTTAGTTGTAATTTGTCATAAAATGATCTTTGCATTCTTACCTTAGGATTGAAAGGACTCTAAAGTGTAAAATGATGGAATGGCGACCTAAACACCCAACACGTTGGAATCGACAGTGTACTTCTGTTTTGCGACAAATCCTCCCAAAGCTGGAACTTGGCAGAGGAAGCTTTGTTTCTCATGAAGAGGAGAGTGAACTTGAAAAATTGCTACAATTTTATTGGGTTTGTATATGATTTAATGTATTAATGACATTTGTTTTATCTGTGTTGTTTTTCGTTTTATATATGTTATTTGTTTTTTGTTTTATTTATATTGTTATTTGTTTTATCTAACTGCTAAACAATAGCAATCTTAAATGTCTTTGAAATGCCTTTTATCCCGATCCTGGAAGATAAATGCTATGGCATTAAAATGCATTTAGTTATAGACCAAGAAATTTCAAATGTGAACAATTATTACCAGGACCACATTGCATGGCATTTTTTGGAACCAGTTGTATGTTTTATGATGTATGAGTGATAAACTTTGAAAAGAGATGCCCAAACAAAAACCAGCCTGCTACTAAGAAACTGAAAAATGATCTCTAGTAATAGGTTGAATTCCCTGTAATTAGTTCTGGACAAAAGGACTCCAGGCAAGCTTCAGTATCTTCTATATGCAAATTATTCCCAAATTTATACATTCAGCCTGGACTTTGCTCCTGACCTCCCTCTTATATATTCATCAGCCCATTGACATCTTCTTAGATGGTAAAAAGGCATCTCAAACTCAACAAGTCTATAAGTAAACATGGTGGGCATTTGGTATATTGTTAGGGTCCTCTTTTCCTTCTCTTACCTTACCTCCAGCTCTGAGCATCCTTTCACCTCCTCTTCTCTGTGAACTGATCCAGAGGATTTTTGAAAACTCAGCCTCTCAACGGTGAGAGTCCTTTCCCCTACTACACAGTAAACTAGAAGATGTCTCTTAGGGGAACTCCCTGAGAATAGACAGTAAGGGATCTGTTGGGAGTTGAACACTTAGGCTGCCAGAGAAGGATCTACAGTCACTAGTCATTCATGAATAAGAAGGAAGTTGTTTTTGTATTGCTTTTTTTAAAAATAGGATTAGAAGGGTAAACAGATAAGCTAATCATAGTTAAATATAAGCCAAGGTTTAAAACTTAGACTTCCTGTGTAAAATTATTTGAACATTTGATAGCGCACAGCCAACAATAATAAATCTGGATTGAACCCTGCAGCCTGTGTTCAAATTCCGGTTTAAGTACTCACTAGCTTTGATGTAGGGCAAGTTATCTAACCTCTATATACCTTCTACCCCAGTGGATATCAGGGGCAAAAATAGTTACATTTTGTGGTTGTGGTGAGGATTAAGTGAGTTAATACTTACCATAGCACCCAGCATCTAGAAGTGTTTAGTAAATGCTATTATCTTTATTCTGTGTGCCAGGCATTGTACTAGGCACTGGAGTTATGACAGTAAACAAGACAGATAAAATCTTGTGCATTCACAGAGATTAAGGGCTAGTTAGAGAGACAGACCAGAAAACAGGTAATTGCAATATATTTTATTAAGTAAACTAGGGGGAGAACAGTGTACTACGTAACTACATGGGAAAAGCATGTGAACAGACTTCCCAAGGTGATTCTAACCCAAACCACCTTTTCTATGGTTAAGTGATATCTGTTATGTCAGTGAGACTATTTCAGGCCTTATTTTATGCTTAGCAATCTAAAACTTAAAAGAGGTTTCTGATAGTTGTCTGTATATTATTATATTAAATAGATAATTTACATAGGATCATGTTCCATAATCTTTTAATCACTTAATAAATATAAACTGAATAGATGTTGACTAAATTCTTCCAAAATTCTCAGTTAAATCCCTTATATGTGGAACCAGGTAATTTTCTTGTCAGCAGTTTGCTATGTAGAAATGGTGCAAACATGTGGAATGTTAGATGCACAGGCTCTGGAATCAGACAGACATGGTGTGCTCATCTCTATCTGTAACATGGGGTCTATAATAGAACCTATCTCATAGGGTTGTTTGAGGATTAAATATATATGTGAAGCATTTAGCACTGTACCTAGAACAAAACCAGCACCCACAAAAAACTATTATTGTTTTATGACTACCATTTCTTTGAGGCTTCTGTGATCTTTTTGCATACAATAATTCTAGATTACCTACATGATTGTAATGTGGGTTTGTGTGTTGTTCTTTCCTTGATCCAGGTCACAGGATTTCCTATCCAGATGCCATACACTGATGTAGAGTCAATTATTGATGCCGTGTATCAAACTGGAATTCACTCTTCTGAACTTCCCCAGACAGAATTTGCTTTAGCTGTATATATTCACCCATACCCAAACAACGTACTATCTGTGTGGGTCTATTTGGCTTCCTTAGCCCAACATCAGTGAAAAGGAAGAAGGGAAAAGGAAAAGATTGTACTATGGGCCCCTAGATCAGAAGCTGAAAGAAAACAAACCAAAACACCGGGTACCATTCAGGCTTTATTAAAAAAGGAAAAACCTGCTGGGCTGTGCTCAAAATGGTTGGGGGCAGGCAGCTAGGAGGAGTACATATGCTTATATGGGTTGGTGGGTGTGAAAAACACAGGCAGGGAGGGGGAGGGAGTGCTGGTGTGTGGGATCAGGTCTACTATTGGTGCGGGTGTGGTGGGCAGGGGTGATGTAGTCAAGATGGGAGGTACCTCTAGGCGGGAGGGGAAGGGTCCTTTGGGAAAACACGAGGTGGAAGTTTTTCTTTGTCTGAAGAAACCACGAGGTAGGGTAAAAGACTGGTGGCTATTTTGTACTCAATATGGCTCCAGTCGTGTCCATGATGATGTCAGTCATATCCAAGGTGATGTGACCACATCCAAGATAGCACTGGCCATGTCCAAGATCTATCATTCCTGCCTTTTAAGTATAAAAAAGGGGAAAGGGGCGAAGGTCTCATTCTTCTGAAGCTACTTCCTGCTGAGAGTGGGTGAGAAGGAAAAATCTGGCCACACAAAAATGCCGTCATCCTGTCATAGGGTGAGATCTTCTAAAGGGAGAGGTTGATGTTTATGTTCCATGAACAATTCATTTACCTTCCGACTGGCAAAAGCCTGCATATGGTCCTGCAAAAAATTGGAGAAACACTGGAAAAGACAGGGGCCAAACAGCAGGAGAAGGCCCAGCATGGTAAGGGGTCCCATTAGGGGCATCAGCCAAGGCGTCTATTTCCATAGCTCGCGCCACCCTTCCCAAGAATCAGTGGCAGCCTGTCTCCTTTTTGCCATTTGGTGACAGAGTTGTTGGGCCATATTTGTTTATGATGCCAGATTTATTGGTATAAAAGCAGCATTCTTCTCCTAAGAATAGACAGAGACCTCCCTTCTGTGCTGTTAACAGGTCTAGTCCTTGCCTGTTCTGTAAGACAACTTCTGCTAGGGAATCTAATTGGTCTTGGAGGGCTATCATAGTTTGGGCTACCTGTTCAATTCCATCAGCTAGCTCTTGGGTTACTTTATGACAGTAAGTTGTTGAGGTAGCTATGCCTCCCACTCCTGTTCCCACTCCTGCCGCTATGCCGAGCCCAAGGAGCAGGGGAATAACCCAAATAGCTCATTTCACTTGAGTATGAGCCACCAGAGGGATTTCTAAAATTTGGTTGCCAGGGACAATGTTAATTTGGGGTGCTAAAATTGCATTGGAAGGCATTGGTATGAAAACGGCCCACAAAGTAGACCCCCTTCCAGGAGCTACAGGTGATGTTTGTGTTGTCCCTCAGAATGGTTTGGTTGCAATCTTTTACTGTGAGATTGCCCACTTCTATATTGCCAGTAAGATTTGTTAGACAATACCCTGCTGGCTGAGTTAAAGTGATGTGAGTGACCACCACCCCCAAGAAGACTGAGGTATGATGATCTGTAGGCCAGTTAGACAGATTGAAGTTAGACAGGGGTGTAGCCTGGTATTGGGGAAGGGTCAATCGCAGGCAGAGCCAGCACTCCCCTGCTAATGAGGGGGACATATAATTAAGCAAATGGTGAGTGGCATTGAGGAGCTGTATAACTTTGGGGTCTATTTGGGATGGACATCGGGGTCAAGGGAGCCGTAGAGGATGTTGGCTTGGCTGGGTGGGAGTAAGACTTTTAATAACTTGCTTAATTTGTTTTTGATGTGTTTCATCCTGGAGCCCTACCCCATCACTATAACCTAGGTGTGTAGTTTTAGTGAAGCACACATATTTGCCTCTTGGAGGGCACTGGGCTCCAGCAGAATCCCCCTTGGAAAGAACCATCCAGTAGTTTGTTTTCTTGTGGGAACATGATATGGCTGTGGACCTATTCAGGGGGCCAGAAGATGTGTAATAGCTGTGAAACTAGTTTTGACAGTCCCATGCTCAAGTCTTGCCAGTGCCTGTGCACCAATTGTCCATCCCAACCTGAAGATTCTGACCTGGGAAATTCACTATGTGCATGGTGAAGCAGATATCTGTGTTAATGGTGAGAGCCATATAAACAGAAGGAGGAAACATATAAGGGCCGGGGAGCTGAGAGAACACACAATAGAAAAAAGGAGTACAAGGCAAATTCATAGGGGGTGTAATCACAGAGGACGCCCTGCCAGGCTAGCTGAGTCACCCACTCAAGGATGTTATCTATGTCAAAGGAGGCAGGCTGGGGTCCATCTCGGATTAGATCCTGAATAAATGATGTTAAATGGGCCTGTAACAGTGAAAGGATAACTGCAAGGGGAAATATCATCTCTTTTGTGATTGGGGCAGAAAGAGTTAATTTAAAAGGTACATTGACTGAGATTGGTAAGAAACATCTTACTGACAGGAGGTATAGGAGTGCCAGGAGAATTTTTTCTATGGTGCTGCAATCTCTTGGGGTGGTGGATGCCAATCCTATAGCCAGTGTTAGGACAAGTAGCACAATAAAGGTTAGAGACACAGGGTGGCATATGCTTATCATGTCCCACGATGGCAAATTCACAATAGCAGGTTGGGATCAATCTTGGAGTGGCTCTTGTATGTGCAAGGTAGAGAGGGCCTGTAAAAGCAAGGGGGTGATTGGCAGGAGGGGAGATGATTTCTCCTTTGGAACTGAGGGAAGAGTGGAGGTCCTAGAAATTTTTAATTTTGTAGGCCCTATGATAGATGAAGTATAAGGAAATGTTGGGTTAGGGGTTGAGCAGAGGGACCCCTCTGGGTTGGTGTGCATAGATTCGTTGGGTGGAGCCTCAGGTGCTAATTTTACCAGTGATAGGTGGTACCAGGAGGTCTTTCCTTATACCGTTACTGCCATGGGGGTGGTGAGAAGTACTGTATAAGGCCCCTCCCAGCATGGTGAGAGGGGCTTTGGGGTCTGGGTTTTAATGTATACTTGTTGTCCCGGGCTTAGTTTTAAATTTGAGGGAGGAGTGTTGAAAGGATGAGGTAGTAAAAGGTTGGCTTGCTCATGAAGAAGGTCCCTAATAAGCGAAAGAGTAGAGAGATACTGGCCTAAAGGTGCTGGGCTAGGAGGTAGTGGCGTAAGGGTGAAGGGCCTGCCATACATGAGTTCAAATGGGCTGAAGCCAGTGGGTTTATGGGGGACAGCCCATAAGCGAGCTAGTGCCAAAGGGAGGAGCTGTGTCCAGGGAAGATGAAGCTCCATGGGCCATTTGGTGAGGTGTGTTTTAATAAGATGATTAGCCTTTTCTACTTTGCCAGATGACTGAGGCCGATATGGTATGTGAAGTTTCCACTTGATGTATAGGGCTTGGGCTGTGAGTTGTGTGACTTGGGAAATGAATGCCGGGCCATTGTCTGACTGCAGGCTGGTGGGTAGGCCAAAACGGGATGATTTCTGAGGTGAGGAGGTGTGACAGGGGTTCGTGGCCTATGTGGATAGTATTATGAAAATCTAAGAGGATTTGTTTTGCTTGTGTCTCAGGGAGAACATAACTACCAGAAATAACATACCCTCCATCTTTCTTTTATGCCCCCAGTTCTAGGAGGCAGTGTACCTCTTGAGGGGTATACTGGGGTGAAGGCATAGGAGTCATAAGAAGAACCTGGGTGAAGGAAGTGTGGGGGTCTGGTGATTGAGTGGCCTGTTTTGCAGTAAGTTCTGCTCGTTTGTTACCTTGAGCTATGGGGCTATTAGAGGCCTGGTGTCCCCTGCAGTGTATGTATGTAACTCCAACCTTCTTTGGAAGCTGGGCAGCCTCAAGAAGCATCCTGATTAGGCATTCATTTTTTATGGGCCCTCCTTGGGTAGTCTTGAGTCCTCTCTCCTTCCATATAGCTGTGCAAGAATGTAAGATGTGGTAGGCATATTTAGAATCCATGTATATATTGACTCACATATCATTGGCCAGGGTGAGAGTGTGAGTGAGGGCAACAAGTTCTGCCTGTTGGGAGGTGGTGTTGGGAGGAAGGGGAGCAGCCTCAATGGGTTGTGTTATGCTTACTATGACATATCCCACCCAGGGGGCTGGTGCAGAGGTGGCACTCCCGTCTGTGAACCATGTGTGTTGGGGCTCTGCAATGGGGTGTGGTGGGATGTGTGGAAAGGGATCGAGGAAAAAATATACGGCCTCCATCCAGTTGTGTTCTATAGTTGAGAGTGCCTTGGAATGAGAGTGGCTGGGCTCAAGGGAGGGCAAGGTTTAAAGGAAAACTGAGAATTTTCAATGAAAGTAAGGTGGATGAGTTGTAGACAGGAGGGAGAGAGAATTGACATTGCCTTATGACTGACAAGGTCTTGAAGATGATGGGGGGGAAAATGACTGTTGTCCAAAGGTTAATTTAGAGCTTTCTTGTGGTGTAAGGGCAGCTGCCACCAAGGCCCATAAGCAGTGGGCTCATTCCCGGGCTGTGGTGTCTAGTTGTTTTGAGAGATATGCAACTGAGGAGAAAATATCTCCTGTCTCTTGTCCCAAAACCCCAACCACCAGTCCTTGGGTCTTGGTGCCATATAGAATAAAAGGAAAAGACAGGTTTGGGAGAGATAGAGCTGGGGCTGTGAGGAGAGCAGCCTTTAGTTACTGGAAGGGAGAATGAATGGGCTTTGTGGGATCTAAGGGAATGGCTAGATCCCCTTTGTTGCCTCATAAAGTGGCTTTGCTAGCATGCCAAAATTGGGACTCCATAGGCAAAGGTACCCTGCAAGTCCCATGAAAGAAAGGATTTCACCCTTTGTGGTAGGGGTAGGGAGTTCAAAAATTAGACTCTTGCAAGTCTGTTTATCTCTACTGTTATCTCTCTGGTGCTGGGAGTAAGGTGGGCTCCCAAATAGGTGAACAAAGGGGAGGAAATTTGGGCCTCTCTGGGGGACACTTGATATCCCCTGGAGGCCAGGAAATTAAGGAGAGCAATAGTGTAGGCCTGTGAGTCCTCATATGAGGGGCTACATAGGAGAAGGTCATCTACTTAT